GCAGCTGGACAAGGCTCATCGAAGTCACGCTGCAGCATCAGTATGGGAGCACGGTGAATGAAGGACTGTCTCCAGCTGCGCTTCCAGTGGGGATCGTTTCAGGTGCAATGGTTTCGATGGTATCGTTTCCAAGAAGAGACTCCCATTCTCCTGGCTAACCTGAGGTTAACTCAATGGGTTTCTCAGCAGCTCAGCCCCCAGCAATGACAGCTCCTGCAGAAGCAAGGCCTGCTTTGGGGTTCATCCCCAACAAGAAGCAGGGTGAAGCTGTTCCATGCTCTCGCTTCTCATGCAGAGTCACCCCCAGGCACCCATTGGCCACCACAAGTTTGCCTCCCTTGAAGGGCTCCACGAGATGCCCAGGTCTTGGATGAGGTGGGGAGATGCAGTGCAGAGAGGGACCCATCCCATTCCCTCTCCATGGGCCAGCGTGCTCTGTGTGGGGCAGCTGCCCCATGAAGGAAGGGCACGAATTGGGCCATCACAGGCCTGGGGCACTCAGGCTATGAGACCCTGTGGCTCCCACAGGCTCAGGAGTTCCCCCTTCGCCAGCCACCCTTATCACAACAAGCTGTGCCTAATGACAGCCTGCATCACGGAGTAACCAAGTAATTGCACTTGAGGGAGCTGCAGCCAGCCCACTTCCCAGCTGCTTGGTGGGCAGAGTTAATGGAGAGCATCATCACAGGCACAGGGGAGAGCTGGCTGCTGAGTAACAATTAACAGCTTCATTGCATGGAGGGGGCTGATCCAGGGCTTTCCCTACCCCAGAGACCCCCTGGATCCGTGGGGAGCTGCAGGCTGGCCCCTGGGGCAGCTCATGGCACAGCATGGGCAGCACGAGCTCCTGGACCCGGCCCACGGCTCAGGCTGCAAGCGGAACCTCAGCCCCTGAGCAGCAGCAATGAATGAGCAGCAGTGGGCACCATTCATTGTGCCCAGAACCGTTTGCTGGTGATGTTGAAGAGGAAAAAAAAAGGATCCAATTCAATCAGAATGTAATTAAATGAGTTGTTAATTTAACAACCCCGCAGTGAAAACCCCTTGATCTCTGGAGCCATCCTCCCTGCAAGCACGAGCTGCTCATCGCTCCAGCACCCAGCCTCTCACACCCCATGGCACATCCCTACCTCGACCTGTGCTGCCCAAAGCTCTCTCCCTAGGGATTCACCCTGCAGCCATATCCAAGGTATCAATCCCAGAAAGGCTAAATCACAGCCTCTTTGGTAAAGGGAGGGGATAAGAGCGAGGTCCCCTCAAAAATCCCACTCCCGGTAAACGTCCTTTAAGGCACTGGAAAACGGGATGAAGATGAGCAGCATCCAGGTGGAATCTCCTCCACATAAGGGAGCTGAGAGCGGATCTGACAAATGTGTCTGGAGTGACTCGGGAGATGCTGTGTGGGAAGCGGGTGCTCCAGATGGCCTCAAGGTCCCTTCTGTCTCTGCTTCTGCAGGCTAATTCCTTAAACCAGCATCCTGTGGAAGGGTGCCAGGCATCCCGCCAGCTCCAGAGCTGGAGGACACTAGAAGAGGATTTGCATGCACAGCGTGTAAAAGGAAGCTGGGTTTTGCAGTAGGCCCCTATAATCTCCAGAGGTAAACTCCAAGGAGCATTTTAGAGCAGATTCCTCTTGAGACAACAAAGCCCTGGCTCAGAGACGTGTTGGAGAGGCAGAAAAGCCCCAGCCAAGCACTGGTCCTCTCATGGATGCCCCTTCCCATGTGCTGCTCCACAGACCTCTCCTGTTACACTCATTGCTGCAGCTATGAAATGCTCTCAGCACAACCACCTCTGCCATGGAACAGTTGCACAAAGTACACATGGGTATGGAAAGCCACAAGCTTTTAGGCACCAGCTGCAGCAGGAGTGGCGCTGTGGACGAAGGGAAGCACTCAAGAGCCATCCATCGATAAGATCACAGTGAGAAGCAGACCCCATCACTCACCCAAGGCTTCCCAATGCAACACAAACCCTGGCAGCACTTTGCCCCAGTGGCTTCCACAGGGATGGGAAGGGTCGGACACTCAGCAGCTTCACTCCTGATGCCGACACAGCCTGGTCTGGTCCTGCTCGTTGGAATCATCTCGATCAGTTTGAACTGGCTCCGTTAATGAGGTTCTAAAGATGCATTTTTATGTGGAGAGCAAGCACTAATTAGAATGCAAGCCAAGTGGTTCCTGCTCGGAGCGCTCATGCCAATATGATTTCCACAAGGGTCACCCTCATCCATGAACTGGCTGATGGAAGTGTTTCCAGCTCTCCACTCCAGCAGGATCTGTTTGTCCCTTCAGCATGTCCAGGGCTGTATTTACACGCCACATCTCAGCAGACACAGCCTGCAGCATCCCAGGCACTCACCACGGCTGCTGCTCCCGATGCCGCATCCCTCGCACGCTGCGCGCACAGCTCCTGGCACAAAGTCACGCAGGATGGCAGCTTTGGAAAGCACCAGGAACCTGAAGGAGCAACAAAGCCTGGGTTTGCTCCATGCTGATGTGTTCCGGAGGCGCTGACAGTGCCCAAATGCTGATGGAAAGGCTGGTCATTTTGGCTGGTGCCGAGTACATCACGCTGGCAGCTACAGTGACCTGCAGCCACCCAGAAGCCAGAGGAAATAAAGGGATTTACAGTGCCTGCATTTCCTGCATGGGAACAAGGCCAGCAGCTGCTTCACCCACTCCTGAGTGTGGCTCATCCTCTTGGTGCCGGTGGCACAAATAAAGCTGCCGCTCGCAGGGATGCTGAGCACCAGCAGCATGGGATGAGCCAGAAGCAGAGACATGTCCTGGCTGTGAGGGCATCACTTTCACCTTCCAAATCCCCATGGAAAGGATGAGCTGCTGCATATGAGCCCCAGCAGCCAGGGGCAGCAGCTCCTGGGAGGCCCCTGACCCAGCGTCCCTGTGCCTGTGGCAGTGCAGAGGTGAGGAGCACGCTGCACCCTGGTTATTGATGGGGCCAGATTAGCTTGTCTGAGCAGGGAAATACATCACTGGAAAAATAGGAAACATTTGGAAAGTGGATGGCAGGCGTGAGAGTGATGAATGAGGCCTGGAGGAGCCTGGTGAAGATCAATGAATAGCTGATGAGCTGAGGAACAGGATGGAGGGAGGCTCGCCATGCAGATCCAGAGAGGGAGCAGAATCGGCAGGGAAATTGCTCACTATGATGAGAAGTTTCTGTGAGTCCCCAAGCAGCCTTTACATCTGTGCCCAGGTGTGGGGGAAGCCAGGCATCAGGGCAGCTGGTTCTGGCTCACCTTCAGCATCAGGCTGGGGAGAGCAGAGCACCCAGTCTGCCTGCCGGGCTCCAGGCTGGAACCCCCCCATCCCCATCAAGTCACACCTCTATGCTGCAGGTTACATGGCAAGAGCAAGGGCTCAGAGAAGGGAAAGCACCCAGAGACCCCTCACGCACACGCTTTGCAGATGACAGTAACTCACCCAGCCTGGTGCTTCTGGCCTGTTACAGCAGAAGCTCCAGAGACAGGCAATTTCTGTGAAGACATCATTCTGGGGGTCAGCCCCACGTGCATTACAGTCCATTAGCAGCGACTGAGACACGAGCAATAGATCCATAACCACTGCATGGCACTGGGGAAAATCAGCCCCGTGTGGGCTTTGCCAGGGCCAGGCACAGGCAGGAGTGGCACCAGGTCCTGTCCCCCTGCCTGCAGCAGGCAGCTCAGCACACAAACCACCTTCTGCACCACAGCAAGACCATGTTAGCGCAGCCCCAGGCCAGCACTCACTTATTAATGCCTTTAAGGAGCCATAGAGCCGGTGCAGTGCTGGCTCCAAGGCTCCCTGCAGTGGCCGGAGCTCGCTCTAGTGGTGGCAGACACGGCTCCCGTGGCTGGGCCACCCTGGAAGCAAAAGGCTGGGTCCTGCTCAGCTCCCAGAACAAGCCTGTATGGATGGAGGCATCAGGGGATGCAGTTGTTCAGGATGAGCATCATCTCCAGCGATGCAGTAGTGAGAAGGGGTCCTGGTGCAGTGGTATTTGGAACTCCTGGGGCCTTCTGCACAACGGGGCAGGTGAGTCAGGTGGGCTCAGGGATGGGACTCCAGTAAAAACTGATCCTTGCCATGCTGCTGAGCACACGTCACACTGCAAGCATGAAGACCCAGCCTGAGCCATGCAACCAGCTGACCCGGTTAGACCTGGCTGTTGCACCTCTCCCCTCACACTCACTGCTTCCAAATGGTTGCTATTTGGATGGTCCCACCCTGCCTTCAAGCTCCTTCATTTGCCCACTCATAAATTCCCAGAGACAGCTTCTAGAGGCAGAACAGCGACAGCAAATTCACTGGGCTGTGGATGGCTGGGCAGTGTCCTTGTCCTTGACACTAGATAGGGAAAGACAAAGCAACTCCCACCTCCCTGGAGCACCCACCCTCAGCAGCCTGGCCTCTGCAAGTAGCCCAAAGGAAGCTATTTGAAAAGAAAATGACAGCAGCTGCTTGTGGGATGATGGGCTCAACAGAGCCATTTAAAACCACCCATCAAAAAGGAGTGCCATTGAGCCCCACCACCTCCTTCCCTGCAGGTGGTTCCTGGAGACACCACCTGAATCCCGGGCCATCAAGACTCCCACTCTCTCTGCAACACCACTTTCATAGCCCTGCTGGCGGTGGAGGGACACAAGCATGATGTCCGCTCCATGGGATACAATGGTACGTACATGTACTCTGCATCCAATGGTTTCTCTTTTGGCTCATGCCACCAGCACTGGAAAGCAAATGAAGACTTTCTGTGCCTCCAACAACCTGATGTTCATCCCCAGGGTCAGCCCAGGCTACATTTGCCTCTGACCAGCCACAACACTCGGAGCAGAGCCAGTGGGAAGTACTATGAAAGCTCTGCAGGCTGCTCTCAGGGTCAGACCAGAGATCATCTTCACAGAACAGTTACTGTTCTCACTGAGCACTTGGAAGTGATGGACAACAATGTCCAAAAATCAGCATTTATAAGAAAATCATCCGAGTTGTTTCAAATTAACAATAGCTCCATTTACTTTACTTTTCAATGAAGGATAAATACCAGGAGACACTTCCATCCGTTCCCTATTTACTCCCCAGCTTAGCACTGTTTCCAGAACAAAGTCAAGAGAGAGAAGCCACATCTAAAAAACGAAGACCAGCACACCAAGAGCTTGTTTCACTCTTGGTATTAGGAGGAAGCCAGGTCCTTCTGAGCCCTTGCCTAGACAAGGATCATTGGAATACTTTAGTTTTCAAAAGCATTTATAGCTTTATCTCAGTAGCAGGTTTTGATTACATTTAGAACAGAAAGAAACAGCCAGAGAACACCAGGGCTCTAACACTGTAAAAGCTCAAAACCATCTTCTCCATCTTTGCTTTTCTTTCAGTGCAGAGACAATAAACCAAGACATGGAATAAGTGGTTAAGGGGAGGGTGGGTCACACACACACCCTCATCCTGAGAACAGTCTAATGTGCAAATAGTTGTATTTCAAAGGTCTAACCATGTTAACAAAACAGACAGGTATTTGGGAATGATACAGCAGCACGAGGAGGTCGGCACTCATGTCTGGGTTGGTTTCTCAGACTACAGCAGATGTATGAAGATGATCCAAGGGCTGGAGCACTTCTGCTATGGAGAAAGGCTGAGAGCTGGGCTTGCTCAGCCTGGAGAAGAGAAGGCTCTAGAGAACCTGTAAAAGTCTTCCAACATCTACAAGAGGCCTACAAGAAATACAGAGAGGGGCTTTGGAAAAGGGCCTGCAGGGACAGGCCAAGGGGAATGGCTTTAACCTGCCAGAGGGGAGACTGAGCTGAGCTCTTAGGCACAAGCTCTTCCCTGTGAGGGTGCTGAGGCGCTGGCACAGGGTGCCCAGAGAAGCTGTGGCTGCCCCATCCCTGGCAGTGTTCAAGGGCAGGTTGGACACAGGGGCTTGGAGCAAGCTGCTCTAGTGGAAGGTGTCCCTGCCTGTGGCAGGGGCTGGAGCTGGAGGAGCTTTAAGGTCTCTTCAACCCAAACCAGGCTGGGATTCTGATACTAATTAACAGATACCCACCAACTCCTGCTCCAGTTTTCTATCTTTACTTTATTAACCCTGACAGAACCCATCGACCTTATTAAACAAGGCCATGAATGCCCATTTCCTGAATGCACAGGCACACGGTGCCCAGCCTCACCAGCTCCTCCAAGTCTGAAGTCTTAAGATGATTCTGGTACCAATCCATACTTCTGTGTCAGGATTTCAACCGTAGGTGTCAGTGCACTGCGGGGTAAAAGAGAACCATCAGAAAACAGGGTTTTTTAAGGGTTAGGCTGCATTTTGTGGTGGGGGGATGCAATCAGCCAGATGCAGAACTGCATTTTGAATCGGGGAGAACATGAACTCCAGAAATTAGTGTTTCACTGGAAGCTTCTAGAAAGGGTTGTCCTATGCTGGGAATTTGGAGCGCTCTTTTAGGATTGCTGAGTGGGCTGGTCATTAACCTAAGCAGTGTTAACGTGAAGATTCATCTGCTATGGGAAAAAAAGCAAACCAGACCCACTCTAAGCTGAAAGCTTCATTTCATTTCAAGTGAAGCAGCAGCTCAGATACATGCAGCACAACAAGCTCACCAGCCAGGCCGAATGATGCTGAACTTCCCTGACACAGATAAATCAACCACAGTTGACCCCAAGCGACACTCCGGGCTCTGAACGTCCCCAATTGGGCCTCCATCGATGATTAAGGACAACTGAGGCCACAGGTCTTGGAATTCCTGGGAGGAAGATAAAAGAGACGTGGCAAACAGGCCAGGGGGTGTTTTCACTGCTGCACGTTCTGGTGTTGAGGGAAAATGGTCTCTCCCCTTGCCCCCTCTGGTCAGCTCACACCTTTGTCATGAACACATCCCAGTTTGTTTTCTGAGAACAGATTTATCTCAGATGTGTAGGGAAGCCATGAGGATCCTCTGGTTGAAGCCTTCTTACCTGCACCGCTGTCTAAGGGTGCACAAAGCAAGCCAGAAGTCTGTCAGGAGTGGGGGCAAGGACAGGGCACCTGCCTGGTGCTGTACCACCACCAGGGTCACAAGCTTGGCACAAGCTGGTTTCCAACTGTGGGAGCCCGGGGCTCTGACAAAATACCACAGGAACACCCCTTAAGTGACAAAACCAACCTTACCGACACCGTCAGCGTGCTGGCCTGCGAGCTGATGTTAGCACTTGTTAGAGCCAGTGGTCCAGAGCAAGCTCGTGCCAACTCCCTGATAAAGGGGTGGTTTGGAATACGAACACCAACCAGCTACGAGGAAGAAGAGAACATGGTTTTACACACAGGAATCAGTTTTAATCTTGTGCTGCCTAACGCCCTCTTGACTTAAAGCTGATGCTCCGGAGAATGACACATCAACAAGCACTGAACCAGCAATGATACAAGATGTAAATCAGCTTCTAACACTGCGTTATGCCGTGGTCAGTAAATCACAGGGAGCACAACAGCGCAGGGACCAGCTTTGGGAAAACACCCGTCGCTGATAAGTAGAGGGAACAGACAGGTAAGAGTAAAAACTACTGCAGCAGAAGCACAAAACACCGTCCCCGGAAAACAGCTCCACCTCCTGCCGCCAGGACCTACCGATGTGAAGGGATTCAAGTCTTTATTTAGCTCTTCCGAACGCTGCAAGACCAGGGTCACAGGTCCAGGCAGCAGGTCCCGCAGCAGCTCGTCCGGCACATTGACACGGCAGTACCTGCACAGCGGGAGGATGCGGCTTCACCCCGGGGGCGAAGCAGCCCTTCCCCGTGGCCTCGGGCTCGCATGGGCTCCGGAGCCCAACGGAGCTGCTCACCCACCTGTAGAGCCGCTCCACGTCCCCGAGGCAGATGGCGAGCGGCTTCCTCCCGTTCCGCCCCTTCAGGCTGTAGATGCTCCGCACAGCGCCGGAGTCCTGCGCCAGGCACGCCACGCCGTACACCGTGTCCGTCGGCACCGCCACCAGCCCGCCCGCCCGCAGCGCACCGGCGGCGGCCGACACCGCCTCCGTCCAGCCTGCGAGACACCAACGGGGGGGGGGGGGGATCAGCGGTGCCCGGCCCACCCCACCCGGTCCCCGCCGCCTCCCCCGGGCCGTACCTCGCTGCTGGGGCTGTGCCTCGCCGCCGGCCGGCAGGAGGACGCGAGCGCTGCGGGCAAAGCCCAGGCCCAGGCCCGGCCCCGCCGCTCCGTCCCCGGCCAGCGCCAGCGCGATCCGCGCCGCCCGCCGCATGCACGGCCCGCTTCCGGCTCGCACCGGGGAGCGCGCTGACGCACATCCGGGGACGTACCGGGGCGGGCTGTTCCCATGGCGACGCGGGACGGGCGGCCGGAGGAGGCGGTGAGGGAGCGCGGCGGGGGCCGGGGTGGGAGCGAAGGGCGGCCCCGGGCACCGCCGGTGACCGCTGTGTCTGCCGCAGGTGCAGCTGCGGGGCCTGCTGGAGACCCGGCAGCGGCGGCTGCGGGCCCGGATCGCCGCCTGCGAGGAGCTCACGGCGGAGATGGGCGCGCTCCTGGCCGCGCTCCGGGCACCCCTCGGCCCGGGGGACGCTCCCCCTGCCCTGCTCCGATCGCTGCCGAGCCAAGCGCAGGGCCCGGGCCCGGCTGGAGGAGCCCGCCCGCCTGCCCCTTCCCTGGTGCCGGGAGAGCCGGAGCGATAGCGAGGAGCCGCGGCAGGCGCTTCCCCCAGCTGCGGCCTTGGAGCCTTATCTCCCTGAACTCACCCTTCAAAGCGAAGCGGGATGGGCTCGGTCTGGAGCTCGTGCATCCACCCAGGGCTGCCGCTTACTGGAAGAACTGTGGCCTTGAACAGATGGCACCGGTTTGTCCAAGCATCGACTCTTCCCTTGACTGTTCACAGGGTCGGCGCTTGGGAATGATCCACTTCACTGTTGGGGAGGCTGGAGAGGAACAAACGCTCTGTGTTGTGGGCAGAGTCCTGACACTCCCTACAATCCCAAAGTCAGAGATGCATCATCCGAGGCATGCACAAGCTACAGAGGGCCAACTCCGTCTGTTTTCCTTATTGACGCTATCTTCCCCCAAAGCTCCTCCTCGGTGGGGAGCACTTGGTACCTAAAACTGTCAGAGCTGGAATGCTGAATCTCTCATGTTAACCAAAGGAAGAGTTGCCTTTCTCCCTGCCCCTACAGTGTCGGCTGGCTCCTGCCAGCTCATGGCACGTACTTGGGTGTTTGCTTGAAGGGGACCAAGCAAGGCTCTCCCCTCCACATAAATGAAGAGTAATTTTAAGATTAACAACTTCTGCTCCAACTCCTGAGGGTATGGAGTCCACGAAGGGCATTGCAGGTGGGGAGGAAATACCTTCACATCCTGACCAGTTCCTAAGGGGGCAGGGGAAGGATCCTCATGCATCTCCCCAGGAACTCATAAATACTCTTAGGAAAGACTATTATAACACAATGTTTAAATAAGCATTTAATTAGGATTCCATTAGTATTAATATTGCTTTCAATTCCAAAAAAAGTTAATTTCCACTTCTTTGCAGATATTTCAAAGTACAATATTAACTTCATACAAAATGAGCAATTAAGCAAACACCATTATTTCACATTTTACATTCTTCAAAAAATACAAATTCATATTTACTCTTTGTTTGGGGGTTTTGGAGATGCTCTTCCTTTGGAAGTACTGTACCTGTAACTAACATCTTCACATTGCTCAATGTAAGCACATTTTTTTTTCTCCCCATGTTTCATAGTTAAATAAAATCCTTTAATACCCATACACACACTCTTGGAAAACTGGGGTTCTTTTATTTTGCCATCTCCAAGCCCACTGCCCAGCTCCCCAAGCGTGTCAAACCAGAAGCAGTCAGGAGACAACCTGTGGTTCTCCTACAATTCCTGCGCTTCCTAATGATGCCAATGCCGACTATGACTTGGGTAACGAACCAGGCTCGAGGTTTGCTCATCCCTTCCCACCACACTGCTCTGTGTGAAACCCAACTGCAACTACAACTCCACAGCAAGGGCCAGACCGATCGCTCCGGTTCAGTAAGCAAGTGGAAGGACACAAAGCTACACAGCAAGAAACACCAGCTACTGTAACTACGGTACTGCAAAAAACAGACCCTGGATTTTGCTGAAAAAAGATCATATGAAAAAAATCTCCTGTTTTTAAGAAAAAAGTAGAAACTGCATTTAGTTTGAGAAAGTGTACACTGCATAATGAACCAAATTTTGGCCAGCTTGCACACCACCAAAAGCATGGTGTGGGATTTTTAAACTAGTTCCAAGAACACACACACTTCGACTATGTACACGACTACATAAATATCCAGTTTCATTTGCATTTCTCAGTGCAGACACAGAACCCGACTTTTAGAACAGAGGAAATACACCAAGACGAGACGCAAGAAAGTTAAAAGTTCAGCCCTGTCCATGAGTATCAACTCCAGGTAACGCTTATAAAAACCTTGACGTTGGTTCCAAAACACGTCACAGAAAAAACAGTGTACAATTAAAACCTATGCCATTGGAAATCTGCAGGGTTTATTAAACACATGCTTTGCTTCTCTTTTTTGCCTTACAATCCAGACTGACTCTGCCCAGCTAGCTCAGGTCACTAATGCCAAGGACTGTGTACTCAAAGCATTTCACAGAGACAAGTGGCACTGTCCTCACTGCACAAGGAAGAGGCTGAGGCAGAGGGCAGTTACATGACTTGCCCGAGGCCCTGCAGCCAGCCACTGGTGACACCATGACCCTGGCTGCTCAACATCACAGACCTGGCTGCCTCTTGTTTCAAGTTGCCAGCCATGCTCCCCCCAAACCAGGAACAGCTTTGCATCACCCATCAACTCCAAGGGCAACTACACTTTAACTGATCTCCCCCAGCAGTTCCACAGCCAACAGGCCAGTCTTAGTTCCTTCTCCAAGCCTTATTCCCAACCGGTGCAGGAAGAGTACTGTAAACAGTTTAACAACGTTGCTGCAGTTGCAAAAACAATACCTTGGATGGCTGCAGAAGCACCATCCTCCATGAAGTAAGGCAGATAACACGACATCAAAATGATCCCGAAGACTTTAAAGGTGCAACATGCCCATTTCAGAACAGCTTGTCACTTCTGCTCACCCTCACGTGGCAGAAGGGAGCAGAGGACATGGGAAGGAGGGTGTACACCAAGGAGCTCGGCTGTGCCCAACAGAAGTGACAAGCAGCCCACCAGAAAGCATGAGAGAAAAGGCCTGCTACAGCACAGTGCTCTCAGTGGAGTATTTGCATAGATTGGACATTTGCTAATGATGCATAATTTAGTTTGGGTACAGACAAGTACATCACCGAGCCCATTACTACACATAACTCAGTTAGACACAGACAGACAGACCACATGGGACAATGATCTTTAGCTACAAGTATTGCACCAAGTTAAGTGCTCTTCTTTGCACACCCCTGTTAACTTTTACTCAGAGCAAAAATAAACTTTGTGAAAGTATATATACAAAAGAAATTGCAGCAATTGGGTTAAAGACAAAATAACCTAAAGTGCATTTTAGATACCAGTATGAGGTTCTGTGAGCTAGTCTTTCTGGACACAGTCAGCATTATACAAGTGCCCAATTCGTACTTTTGTTCTATATAATTCAGTACCAGCATTTAAACAGTGCTGATTTTCCATCCCTCTACCATCTACAAGCACGAAAAACAACTTCTACAACCTTCAACTGTACACCAAGTCTGCTTCCCTGGGTCGCTGCTTGGTGACCAGAGCGACCGATGTTGGCAATTCGACCCATTCGGTATGTTTAAGCTTCTGCACCCATCCAGAAACTGTACAGAACCAAGAAAATCCCCAAAAGCCACAAACAGCCAACCCTTTAACACAGAAGGACCCCAAGAAGTGCACCTTTGCTCTCTGACTGATAACTGAAGGGGGATGTGAAAGGTGGATTTTGCAGAGGGAGGACACGCTGTTCTCAGAGGCTCCAGCGTATTAACAGAACATGTCCCATCCTGGGAACCCAGTGTCTTACCAGATCTACAGCAGCAGAAACTCTCCCCCTTCCTTTAACAATGTTACTGTGAATATGCTAAATGCTGGGGCAACGAGAGGAAGACATTTCTGGCATCGAGGAGTCTCAGGGCAACTGCCCTCTCTTGCCAGCTACTCACATTGTCCTCCCTTTGAAGCGCATTAACCACCACCCCAGCAGTACAAGGCCTGAAGATGCAGCATGTCCACTGTGAAACACATCAGCTACATGCAGCATGGGACACTCTGGAAAGCAGACCATCAATGAAGCAACAAAAGCACACATCTGTACAACACAATCAGGTGGGATGTATAGACCGTGGTGCAGTGGCCTATGCAGTCACAGAATCATCACACTGCTCTCGCTTCATTACAACATCTAATTAGTTTCACCTAAATTGCAGCCTGTCTGATGCATGTACAAGAGAGTAACAGCAAAACCAGTGCACCTAAAAGCCAGCATGAACATGGAACACATTGCTTATCCTGGAACACAACAAGAGAAAACACTAGGCGTGAAGAGAAAACAGCAGAGAGGTTAACTGCTGACACCCACCCAGAGAGGATGGCAGCAGCAAGGTGCTGCACACAATCACACTTCCAAATCAGCTTCTGATTTCAAAGCCTTTGGTAGATTCTTTTACTCACTTCTGCCACAAAGCAGTTTCTGAAGTTATCGGGCCCAATGGAAAGGTGGTTGAGGTGAACCAAGTCACAAGCAGCAAAATCAGCACAGAAAAACACCTTCCTGAAGGACAGAAAGGCTCAGAAAATGCTAAATCCAGGCCACATCTGGTACCCTTGTATCCATCACCCCACAACTCCAGGGGAACCTGCATGCTCCTGTGTTAGTGGAATTTCTCACACACACGCATCCACTCACCCTCAAACACAAAAGGTCCTCTGCAGTGGCCTGTGCCCCACAGAGACATCCCACACAGCTCCAGGCACCACTCACACTCCTCCAAAGTGGAGCTCTACACTGGTGGAGATTACCTCTGTGAGGACATCTGAGCCACACAGACTTGAGACTGTTTCTTTTGTGTTCTGAACAGCTCTTGCTGCCATGCAACCAAACTGCATCACAAAACTAAGATGTAGGAGGAAAAAAAAAACAACCAAGGACCACTGTCTCACTACCCTCTAGGGATTACAAGAACCAAACCTAGAAGACTCTTAATCCGCATTTCATGGATGCAGACCTTATTGCTGCAGGACCCCCATCCCCACTGCAACACACACCAAACAGG